CTTCCTGTTTCCAGCTTCTGAAACTGAGTTTCTCTGTGAGTTTTAGTCAAAATGAGGACATTTTTCTGCCTCAAACTGAGTTTTAGAGCCAAAATGAGGCATTTTTTCTGACTTAAACTGAGACTTTCTGACTCAAACTGAATTTTAGAGCCAAAACGAGGCAGTTTTTCTAACTCAAAGTGAGTTTTAGATCCAAAATCAGGCTGTTTTTCTGACTTAAACTGAGACTTTCTTACTCAAACTGAGTTTATGAGCAAAAACGAGGCAGTTTTTCTGACTTATACAAAGTTTTCTCTATTTTACACAGAATTTCTCTGACTTAAATTTAGTTTTTCTGATTTACACCGAGTTTTAGAGCCAAAATAAGCCAGTTTTTCTGACTTAAACTTAGATTTTCTGACTCGAACTGAGTTTTATGTGAATTTGAGCCAAAATTGGCCGTTTTTCTGACTTAAACTGAGCCTTTCTGACTAAAACAGAGTTTATGAGCCAAAACGAGGAAGTTTTTCTGACTTAAATTGAGTTTTACTGACTCAAACAGAAAAAATGCCTTGTTTTGGCCCAAAATTTCAGACTTAAACTGAGTTTCTATGTGAATTTGAGGCAAAATGAGACCGTTTTTCTGACTTAGACTGAATTTTTCTGACTTAAATTGAGATTTTCTGACTTAAACTTAGTTTTAGAGCCAAAATGAGACCGTTTTTCTGACTTAAACTTAGTTTTTACAGCCAAAATTAAGCAGTTTTTCTGACTTACACTGAATTTTTCTGACTTAAATTGAGTTTTTCTGACTTAAACTTAGTTTTAGAGCCAAAATGAGCCAATTTTTTCCTGACTTAAACTGAGTTTTTCTGACTCAAACTGAGTTTTAGATCCCAAATCAGGCTGTTTTTCTGAATTGAACTGATTTTAGAGGCAAAATTGATCAGTTTTTCAGACTTAAACCGAGTTTTTTCCGACTCAAACTGAGTCTGTATGTGAATTTGGGTGGTGGAGACTCACCCTCCGGCTGGAGACCTGCTCGTCCCGGCCCATGTCCTCCCCCCCCCCCGGGGGAGAGTTGGTATCTCCCGCACCTCGCCCCGGGTCACCGTCTTCCTCCTCACCGTGTGGCTGCGGGACACCGGGGTCAAAGGTCAACCTCTTTACAGAGATAGAGAGAAATAAACAGGAACCCAAACAGAACCCCGACCAGATAGAGATCCAGGGATGGAGGGAAGGAAAGGAAAGAGGATGGAAGGGAAGATGATGGAAGGATAGAAGGAAAGAGGATAGAACGAAAGGAAAGAAGGAAAGAGGAGGGAAGGAAAGAGGATGGAAGGAAGGAAGAAAGGAAGGAAAGAGGATGGAAGGAAGGGAAGGAAAGAGGATAGAAGGAAGGAAGGAAGGAAGGAAGGAAGGAAGGAAAGAGGATAGAAGGAAAGGAAAGAGGATACAAGGAAGGAAGGACATAGGATAGAAGGAAAGGAAAGATGGAAAGAGGGTGGAAGGGAAGGAACGAGGATGGGAGGAAAGAAGGAAAGAGGGTGGAAGAAAAGGAAAGAAGGAGAGAGGATAGAAAGAAACAGGATGGAAGGAAAGAGGGAAATAGGATAGAAGGAAATGAAATAAGGAATGAGGACAGAAGGGAAGAAGGAAAGAAGATACAAGGAAAGGAAAGAAGAGGATAGAAGGGAAGGAAAGGGGATGGAAGGGAAGGAAAGAGGATAGAAGTGAAGGATATAAGGTAATAGGATGGAAGAAAAGGAAAAGATTGGAAAGAGGATAGAAGGGAAGGAAAGAGGATAGAAGGGAAGGAAATGAGGAAAGAGGATGGAAGGGAAGGAAATAAGGAAAGAGGATGGAAGGGAAGAGGAAGGAAGGAAAGAGGATGGAAGGGAAGGAAAGAAGGAAAGA